GGTCTTCTTAGCAGGGATGTTCACTGAAAAGTTTGACGCGAACAGGTAAGCGAGCGCCTTGAAGTTATTGATACACCCGGCCGGCAAGTTGCCGAACCATTGTTGGGCCTTCAATGTGGCCGGGAAACACTTACACCATGTGGCATCATCCAACCCTTGGAGGTACATAAGGTTGGTGTATGCCATCAAGTGTTCTTTAGGGTTGGTAGTGCCGTCATAGGCCCCTACCAACACATTCTTTACTTTGGCCGGCTGGGCGGCCTTTGTTATTTCCTTGGAGAAGGCGGATGGATGTTCTCCAAGCTTGAGCAGCTGAAGCTGCCAGTCCAAGGGTTGGACATTCCTTGCCGCCTATCCCCAAAAGGGAGTAGGCTGCATGAAATATTGCGATTGCGGAACGTATGGTTGGGGTGGCACATACGGTACTGCATGATGCTTCTAGGAACCATAACGAGAGGGGGTGCCGCCCGTCTGACTCTCATAGTTTGATTTTGAATACCTCAAGGAGGTATTGTGTAGACTGTCTTTAAAGTCAAACGTGGAGGTCGACTCTGACAGTTGGTTCTTCTTCTGCTCGAGTAGTATTCGAGCATCGGAGTATGTTTTCTTGGACCCGTCCGACTGAACATGACGGATGGGCTTCCTCTTCCCTAGTGAGGGAAAGCGGTACTTGGTTAGGTCGATCACTGGCGCCTCCCTCTCCCTAGGTCTAGGGTAAGGAGTCGCCTCCCGATCCTTTACAGGCTTTGTCCTCCCAGATTGGGAGGGTCTTCTGGCCAACTGCTCCTTTGGTGGAACAGTCGCCCTGTTGTTGATAAGTTCCTAGATCTCCCCTTTGAAACTATTCATGAAGGTCATGAGTTCGTTTCTGGTGATGGGGGCAGATCCCTCGGTCGCCTGTTGATGATCAAGCGGTGGGCCGGCTGGTTGACTGGGTCTAGCCGAGCAGTCCTCGCGTTCCCTCCTTTCGGTGGGACGGGTGCGTCGAGCTCTAAGGGACCCGTTAGGGGCCGTACGAGTCTCGACCTCAGTTTTATTGTCCATATCCTAGTCTGAGTAGACCTAGGGGTCGTCCATGGGACACTTCTCACTTAGAATCGGTACAGACTGTGATGCCATCTCGAAAGTACTCTACCCACAAACGACGCCAAATGTTTCTGGGTTTTTTGGTGTCCTGCAGAAGAGTTACAATTCCGGGACTGGATCCGTGCGCCTGTACCTGCAAAACAACGGAAACCCCAAGGGATGGGGGCTCTGCCTCGGACGATCAAGTTAGAACGTGCTTGAGGAGTAAATGGTGCGGAAAGTAAAAGGGGATCTAGCTCCTCTGGAGAGAGGAGTGATTAATCTGGCTACGGGGGGTAGCCTCAAGGGGGTGCAATTAATGCTAAGTAAGGTCTAGCGATTAATATGCACGTGTGTTTAGGCTTCTCTCGTTGAGTTAATTATGTCTCTTAATGGAGGCTAATTACCTGTTTATATAGCCTCGAAGTACGTGCCCAATATTAGGTTTAACGGTAAACCTAGGACTGATTGGGCTTGCCTCGGGATTTGGGCCTTTGACGGCCGTTTTCCAGGCAAATTATGGGCCACATGGCGTTGCCTGATTAGTCCATGCTGAACCTCTCATAGAGTGACAAGTGGCGGACGCCGATTGGTCCTCGTGGCGGACACGTGGCAGGTCCGGATTGGTCCATTTGTCATGGGTATTTTTACCCTAAACAATTGGTTTGTGTTAATTAGATGTGCTAGGTCCTTGTGTATATTTTATTTTATATTATTTTTGTTCTTTTCTTGTTTTGCTTTTGAAAAAAAAAATATATGGCAAGTTTGTCTTTTCCTCAATATGAGAATGAGCCATTTGGAGTGTACTTTGATAGCCTAAATGGCTTCCTAAGCTACCATGGGTGTTCTCTTTGGAATTCTTGTGAAATAGCTTATTGGGGTATGAGTGAATATATAGTAGAAGATATGTACAATGGTGAATTTTGTGATTTATCTTTGGGTGATGCCTGGAATTTCCACATGTGGTTTGCTAGGGATACTTATGATAGGGATTCTCATGTTTCTAGTTATGATGCAAATTTTCAAAATTCTCTTAACTTCTACATGAATTTCCTTGATATGCTTAATGCTCCCTATGAAGAACCTAATACGCATGTCAACCCCTCCCCCTTATATGCTCATTGTGATGAGGTTTGTGCTAATTTTGATAATATGAAATTTGATTTTGAACATGAACCTCAACCCACTAACATTGATGCCTACATTCTTGCCTAATTACAACCTCTCACCCAACAAGTCCATGAACTTCAAGAGGAACAAGTCCATGATGTTTATAATAGTGATGCACCTCACTTGGAGTTTGAGAGTGTTTTTGAGAATGATTTGGGCCAAGGTTGTGAATGTGAGGAGATGAGTTCTTATGGAGATTGCGTGTTTGAGGACATTGAGAGTCATGAGCTTTTACCTAGTGAGATATCCATAGTTGATTCTTGTGCCTCCAACGCAAAAGATGATCTCATTCTTTCTCCCTATTGAGCTACATTGCCCTTCTCCCCCATTTTCACCCTCCTTGAGAGCAACCCCACCCTATGGTGTGAGTGAGGCATCTTCTATATATGGTGGTTAAGGATATTTGTGAGGATGGTGAGAAATTTGAGGAAGAGAATACCTTGAGCCAAAGGTCGTTGGTTGAGAAAGCTTGTGATTTGAAGCAAGGTGATGTGAGAGGGGCTATTTGTGATGTCATTGTTCCTATTACTCCACCTCATATCCCCTTTTCTTGGAAGCTTGACCTTATTCCTTCCTACCCCATATCATTACCCTCTTTTCTCAAACCCTCTCTACATGAGAAGCCTCATGTCTCCCATGATTTGCATGCATCCAATTTGGTGATTATTGAGGATAATGGTGGAATTGCCAATCAAAATGTTTCATGAGGAGAGTATGCCCCCCTTTTGCTCTTGTTATCCATCTTTTGATTTTTTTTCGTATTTATCTTGTTTTCTCTTTTGACCCCTCTTCTTTCTCTTGGTATTCTTCTTCTCTTTTCCATAAATGTGAACTCTTGTTGCATGTTTCTCTTTTGTCAATTGTATATTTAGTATTCTATGAGGTGTATGCTAGTGCATATGACAAATTATTGCGATCCTTGAGGTGTTATTTACTAGATAACACAATTTCTTTTTTTACATAGTTTTATTTATTTATTTTTCACTTCATTCTTCTCTTGTACATTCTTTTAGTTGTGTTTCTTTTGTTTTTCTTTGTATAGGTGCTTATGTACATACTCTTGCACAAGGACCTTGGATTGAAATTACTTAAGAAGAAACGCGCCAAGGATATGATGCATGTATATGAAAGTTGAAGCACGAATGAAGTGGAATATCATGGAAACTAGTAAAATTGAGTTCAATTGCAGGTTTCTACACCCACCTCACACTCGGTCCACTCTTTCTTTATTCCCCTTTCTCTCTTCTATTCCCTTATATGCATGTGGTTTGATTGGTAAATGCCTTGGTTGGTTGTTGTTGTTTCTTTCTTCTCCTCCCTCCCACCCTTTTGTGTCTTTTATTTAAGCATTTAGGATAATGCTTTGTTCTAGCTTGGGGGGAGTAGCTATTCACTAGCTTGGGAGGGAATCTCATTTGATTGGGGGATTTTCCCCGCCCAATCACTGTTTACCACGTGGACCAATCAGGTCCTGCCATGTGTCCGCCACATGGACCAACAAGGACTTGACACGTGTCAAGCAGCAATCAGTCCAGCATGGACCATTCGCGCCAGGCCACATGGCCTCCTGTCTGCCCGCCAGAAGAACGACCACCAAGGCCCGGTTTCCAAGAAAGGCCCAATCAGCCCTAGGTTGATCTAAACCTAATATTAGGCACGCATCCCGAGGCTATAAATACAATAATTAAGCCTCCATTTAAGACTATTCAGAAATAATTACTCTCACCTAGAGAAACCTTAACACCCGTGCTTTCTGAGGCTAGAATTGACTTAGCAATTAATTGCACTTTCTGATTTCTCCTCCCCTAGAGGAACCAGATCACCTTTTACTTTCTGCACCTTTTTACTCCACATACAAGTACTAACTTGATCGTCGGAGGCGGAGCTCCCACCATCTGGAGTATCCGTTGTTTTGCAAGTACAGGCGCAAGGGTACCAGTCCCGTAATTGTAACTCTCTCGCAGGACACCAGAAAACCCCGAAACATTTTTGCGCCGTTTGTGGGGAGAGTACTTTCGAGATGGAATCACAGTCTGCACCGATTCTAAGTGACAAGCGTCCCATGGACGACCCTCAGGTCTACACTGACCAGGATACGGATAATGATACCGAGGTCGAGACTCGCACGGCCCCTGACGGGACCCTCAGAGCTCGACGCTTCCGTCCCACCAAAAGGAGGGAATGGGAGGACTGCCTGGCTGGATCTAGTAAACCAGCCGGCCAGTCGCTTTATCATCAACAGGCGGCCGAGGGATCTGCCCCCATCACTAGAAGTGAACTCATGACCTTCATGAATAGCTTCAAAGGGGAGATCCAGGAGCTGATCAATAAGAGGACGCCTGTTCCACCAAAGGAACAGTCGGCCAGAAGACCCTCCTAATCTGGGAGGAAGAAGCTTTTAAAGGATCGGGAGGCAACCCCTTACCCTAAGCTTAGGGAGAGGGCGGCGCCAGTGATCGACCTAACTAAGTGTTGATTTCCCTCACCAAGGAAGAGAAAGCCCATTCGTCGTATTCAGCCAGACGGGTCAAAGAGAACATTTTCTGATGCTCGAATGTTGCTTGAGCAAAAGAAGAATGACCTACTGTCAGAGTCGGCCTCTACGTCTGATTTTCAGGACAACCCACATAATACCTCCCTGAGGTATTTAAGATCAAACTATGAGAGCCAAACGCCCAGAGCCTCCTCTTGTTCTGCTTCCCAGAAGCATCAGGCGGCCCCGTATGTCCCTCAACCATACGTCCCGCAATATTTGATTTCTTTTCTCATTGCACTTATAACACATAGTAAGAGTTTTGATCTGTAACAAGTTGATCATGCTACACTTGAATAAAATGATAGTAGTAAATTGTTGGAATTGATAGATCTTAATGGTCCATTTCCATGACAAAACATCAAAAGCTAGTTCTTAAATGAACTAACTTAGCTTAGCAACACAAGAAACAGAATAAAAAAAGAATTGTACTTGGGCCACCAAGAAAAACAAATCAATCCCCTTAGATTTTCCCTACAAAATCTACCAAAGACAAAAAGTTGCAAGAAAAAACTCTTCTACCAAACTAAATCTGAGTAACCTAAAAATTTGTAAAATTCCTAGAATCAAAAGAACCAGAAAAATAAGGATCCCATGCATGTTCCTCCAACTTCCCAAGCCACCTATATTTCCATGCTTGCCTTTCATCATAACCAAAACTATCATCCCTCCCATTTCTCATGTCTTCCTTAATCCTTCTAACTCTCTCCAACACCCCCTTCACCGTGACGTCGAATGCATCTTCCAAACTCTCTAATTTACACCTAGGATCAGCATATATTATCTTAGGAATTAGGTTTATAATCTCTTCTCTCATTTTATCAACTCTTTGAGCAGAAATTTTCTCCAACACTTTTTGTATGCTAACTTTACCATCCCTTACCTCATACATAGGGATAAAAACTGAGTACTTGGTAAACTCCCTAGGGAGATGCCACAAGTATTGAATGTAAGCCGAACCCGGGTGGAAGAAAACGGGTATACAACCCGCAAGTATTGAGTCAAAAGTGGATCTTCTAGTATAAGAGTCTCCTGGAGGCTGCAAGCAGAAATGAGAGCTTTGAAACATCTTCATTAATTCAGCTGGTTTATGGCCAGTGGCGGAGCCAGGATTTTCAACTTGGGGGGACAAAATGCTTAACTTACGAAAAGCTTAACAAAAAAAAAAAACTCACACACAAATTGGTTAATACTTAATATTAAATTTTCAAAATACAAATATATACTTAGTCATACAATTCAAAATGATGAAAAAAATTACATAAACATTACATTAAAATTACAAGTTCATTCTTCGAGTCTTCATACTTTGAAATCGATCAATAATCTTTTCGTCGGAAACTTGTAAGAAGACATCCTTCTCAATAAAAGTGACCAAACAATCATTCATAAGTTGATCACCCATGCTATTTCGCAACTTGTTTTTGACACATGTCATTGCAGAAAACACTCTTTCAACACTTGCCGTGGCAACGGGAAGAATCAACATCAACTTGATAAGCAAATGAATAAGAGGAAAAGTCTTATGCTTATTGGTTTTAACAAGCATCATAGAAAGAGAATTAAGGTCATTTAAACCTTGAAATCTTTCATCATTTAGCATATTCTCCATGAATACATCAAGTTGATATTCAAGAGCCATCAAATCAAAGCTTGAAAATTCTTCGGGATAAAAAGAGGCAAGTTTAAGTACCTTATCTTTATCAAAGGATGAGAAGTTATCTTTAGGACTTAAACAAGCCATACATAATAGTAACTCCATATTCCTCTCATTAAATCGTTCATCAAGTTCTTGAAGATGCAAATCAATTAGTCTTAAGAAAATTCCAACCCGAAAATGATGTTCATTTGTTGCTTCTTCAACAAAACGTCTTGATCTTCCATGAGGAACATAAAGAGAATCCATAGTGGGAATAACAACACCATGTTTAGTGCAAAATGAAGTTACCTTGTTTAAGAGAGTATCCCATCCTCGCTCCCTCATTTTTTGCAACACCGTTTTTGTATAAGTGACAAGTTCCATGGCATTTACAATATCTTGCTCCTTTCTTTGCAAAGCAACACACAAATCATTAGTGTATCCAAAAATAGTCAACATCAAGTGAGCAACAAAAATAAAGTCAAATGACTCTAATTGTCCTAAAACAATTTGAGCTTTGAACTTATCTTCCGATGCACCATGCTTCCCAATTTGTACAAGCACCTTAATAATTGTAGGAAATAAGAGGATGACATTTAAAAGTGACTTGTAATGAGAACTCCAACGAGTATCCCCGGGCCTACTCAAACCAAGTTCTTGATTTAAACCCGATCCACTCACAATATCCCCAACATCCAAGGCTCGAGCAACTTCTTGAGCTTGATCTTGACGAATCATTTCTCTTCTCTTGCAAGAAACTCCAACCACATTCAACAAATTTCCAAGTATCTCGAAAAGCCAACCACAACTATCATTCTTTTTAGCAACGGCAACTAATGTTAGTTGAAGTTGATGAGCAAAACAATGTATATAGTAGGCACTTGGAGTATCATTCATAATCAAAGTCTTAAGGCCATTTATTTCACCCTTCATGTTTCTAGCTCCATCATACCCTTGCCCTCTTATCATAGATGGGCTCAATGAATGTTCAACAAGTAAAGACATGATTGCATCTTTAAGAGTTAAAGCGGTAGTATTAGCAACATGAACAATGCCTAAAAATCGCTCCATTACCTTTCCACTATCTCTATCAACAAAACGCAAAACAAGAGCTAGTTGTTCTTTTTGGGACACATCACTTGACTCATCGGCCAATATAGCAAAGTAATCATCACCAACTTCTTCTATTATGCACCTAGTTGTTTCTTTGGCACAACAGTTAATAATGTCCTTTTGAATAGGAGGGGAAGTCATTTGACAATTTTTAGGTGCATTTTCAAGAGTATGTATCCTTACTTCCTCAACCTTTTCTCCTAACCACTTCAAAAGCTCAAGGAAATTACCCCTATTATATGACTCCCCACTTTCATCATGTCCACGAAATGCCAAACCTTGCCCCAAAAGAAATCTTAAACAAGATAAAGATGCTTTCAAGCGGATAAAATATTCACTTTTAATCACATCACTTGCATTGTCAATCACATTCAAGATTGATTTCTTTTTTTCATCTCTTAAATTCACATATTTCTCATAAGCAAGATTATGAGCACTTTTAATTCCACCAACATGCTTCTCAAATCTTTCCGGTTTATTCCATGCCCTAAACCCTCCATCAACAAATGCATCACCCCCCGGTTTAATACCCACTTCATTCTTGAACAAGTAACATACAAAACAAAATGCAGCATCTTTTTCAATACTATATTCAAGCCAATCCCATTTGTTGAACCAATGAACACTAAAGCGACGCAAACCAGACACTTGTCTTGTAGGGAAGTCATGAGTTTTTGGTTGGCAAGGTTTTTTAAGAATATAACCCCTCCTAACAGCATTTCGTTCATTTGCGGGGTAATCCATAATGTTTATTCTTTTTCCCGGATCATGAGGAAGAAGTTCAACATCATACACCAAATCTTCCTCTAATGGTACATTACTATTACTTGAACCACCCATTTCCATACTATTTTCTTGACTTTGAGGGGAGCTAAATGAAGGTGAGTTATTGGACTCATTTTCATTGGACTCATTTTCATTGAGTTTCGTTCTTTTAAACAAGAATTGTCGAAGATCGGGTTGTTTAGTTGCCTTTGATTTGTTTGAATTTGGTGAATCGTTTGACATTTCCTAATTAAATCGAAAATTATATATCAATTTCCACAAGACCACAATCCACATCATTACATAATAACAAAACCTAAGAGGCTAAGATTTTAAATTTCTAATTCAACTACACATTTCAATAATTTACAATAATTAATAAATTTAAATTCACATTTCACAAAAACAACCAAAAACTCTAACAGGGGAAACAATCAAACAAATATAAATCAATAATCATTTATCAATTCAAATTATTCAATAATCAATACCCACAAGGCCACAAATGACAAATTCACAATAAAAATATAAACAATTAAACATTTAAACAAGTAATAAAAATATGAAATTCAGAATTTCAGATTTACTGTAAATTTAAACAATTAAACATTTAAACAACAAAACAAGTAATCAATTATTCAATTAATCATACATTCATTGATTCATACCTCCATTGAAATGCATATGACGAATAGACGAAGTGTCGAAGTCACGCTGTGGTCGCTGTCACGAAGTCACGATTCACGAAGGACGAAGGCTCAAGGGCTGAAGGGCGGCTGACGGCTGTTGAACCTCGTCACTGCTGCGAACTGCCGGCGAACGGTGGACGCGTCACGGCGAGCCGGCTAGGCGATTGACGAACAGACGAAGTCACGAACACACGAAGTCACGAACTCACGAAGGACGAAGGCTCAAGGGCGGCTGTTGAACCTCGTCACTGCTGCGAAGTGCGAACTGCCGGCGAACGGACGAAGACTGCCGGCGAACGGACGAAGGCGAGGGCGAATCGAAGAGAGAGAAATTGAAAATTGAAAAACTTAGGGTTTGGCTTTGGCTGGCTGGAAAATGTCGCAACGCAAAGGATTGTAAATCTGTAATTGCATTTTTTTTTTTTTTTTTATTTTTTTTTTTTTAAATTTTTTTTTTTTTAATTTTTTTTTTTGAAAATGGGGGGACAAGTGTCCCCACTCGTCCCCTTCTAGCTCCGCCCCTGTTTATGGCACTTATTCTTCCAATTATTGCAGTGAATCATCATACATTTCTTGGAACTCTCACATTGGTTGATCAATTGGTTTCGTATCGAGTCGGGTCTATCGGGTCTCGGAGCCCCAGAAAAAGAAAATAAATTTCTTCTCCTCTGTTTTTTCATTCGGTTTTGCCATTGAAAGACCTCTGCATCATTTGAAGGGTGAAAATAAGTCGGATATGTATCCTGAAATCGTTGCTATTCCAAGGCGATGATTCGATCACTAAACCAGTCATGTTTTTAGCTTCGGGTAAGTAAAGGAATTTAGTTCCCCAATAGGGATCATTCTTGTTTGCTGACCTTCTAAAATCCCATGTAATTCTTCCTGCAGCAAAGAAATGATCTCTGCCCCACCATCTCTTCCACTCTGGCTTCCTCTTAAGTAGTCTGACTAACTCGAATCCACCCGAGTCTCTTATATCGGAGTCCGTATTCCACAAGTGTCGTGCTACGTCGAGTCCTGTGTAGAATGGTACAAAGATAGCGGATGCAATAGAAGAATCATTTGTTAAGCAATCATACTGCTTCATCCTATTATGGAAGATCACTTCTAGTAAGAATTGGTTAGTTGCAAACCACCCATGCTCGGAGAAAACATGGTCCGAGTTTGGAAGCTCAGGGCCTAGACCTGAATTCCTCACATATTCACACATATCCATCCATAAGTCAAGAGACTTGCAATCCCTTAGTAAGTCTACATTGAACCTCCTAGGGAGTGTGTGTACAAAAATGTAGCGCCCCGAGCAGGATTTTGGGTCAGATTTTTGCGCCGTTTTGCATACCCGGGGTGGAGGTGGAGGTGGGGATGGCGGCGGTGGAGATGGTGGTGGTGGTGGAGGAGGCGAGACATCGGATTTCTCTTCACCTACATTGTTGTTCCATGATGATTCTTGATTATAATTTGTATTCACTACTTGAGTATTTGGCAAATTCTTAGGAGGTTTCCTCCTTTTAGGTCTCCCTTTCCTTTTCTTCTTCTTAGAAGTTGGAATTTGTTGTGGTTTCTCGTTCATTGTTTCCCTAGCTACCGCCGTTTCCTTGATGATTTCATCTTGATCGCTCTTCTCGATAACTCTAATAGATGATTTATGATCACTGTCTTCGACAAGATCCTTCATATTCACATCTAAAATCTTATCAATCTCATCATCCCCTGTTTCCTCTGTTTTTGCCTCTGTTTCTTCTTGTATTTCCCCTGTTTTTTCCTCTGTTTCTTCCCTAATGCTAGTGGTGTTGTTGGCATTACTTTCATCTAAGGTGGAACTAATACTTTCGGTGTATCTAGGGTTAGCAATAATTGGAATCTCATGTTGGTAATTTACAGAATATACGTAAAATTTTGCTAAAGAAGCTACACTATCGATCAAAGACGAATAATTTAGGCAAATCAAAAGTGACCATATTGTGAATAAGGATATAATAAGCAACCAGAATTTATTCTTACATATTGCCACGGTTGTTTTATGCATCTTTCCGCGATGAGCTCTCGCTCTCCGGTGTATCATTAAGAAGATGAATCAAGACAAATATGGAGGACATAGGATTCAATAAGAATAGTTGTAACATGAAATAACCATAAGATTAAATCACATTAAAAATTTTGATTCATAAGATTGAGGATTTTCGTGGGTACAATGTTGGAAATGAGAGTGATTTTTTTTTGGGGCTGAAAATGAGGAACAAAAGAGGAGGAAGCTGAAACTTTCAATGTTTATTAAGAATTTGGACTGAATTAACCTATTTTGTAGGCTATCACTTGTTACATAAGTTGTAATTTTCAAAAGTAATAGTTGTTTTTCTCATTCTAACACAATTCTAGGATCGAGTATGGCTTAATTGTATAGTGTACAGGTTATATAATGCATGGTTGCAAGTATTTCGACCTTTTTTTAGGGTGAAATTTATGAAGTAGCTCTTAAACAACTAGAACAAATATATATAAGTTGGGAACATATCTCTATTCCAAAAAAAAAAAAACAAGTTGGGAACATATCTAATTTTTTTCTCAAAAACAACTGTCTAGGAATAATAAATAGACAATATATTTTCCGAATGGAGAAATTGACAAATATACGTAATTTATACAATTCTATAGATTTTTATTTTATTTTTGTTTTTTTATTGAAAGGAGTAAAATACATTCATTAATTCTAGCCTATGCTATAAAACCATGTTTATCACCCACTTATTATACTGATAAAATGGGGCTTGCTCTATACTTCTGCTGGTATTGAGTCGTGAGGGATCCAGGAGAATCATTATACACGGAGGTAGTATTTAATGGTGGTGCCCGCTCGGTGGTGGTGGTGGTGGTATATGATGGTGCATTGTTGGGTTTTATTGTTGATGGTGGCTCTATAGGATTATTTGGGTAGTGTTTGGTTCATTTTCTACCAAGTTTTTGCTAAGGCATTTATTATCCATGAATGATCACTAAGAAATCAAGAATTATTAGGTAACCTTGGTCAAATAATATAATTTTATGTGTTTCAAGGGAATTAAATCAAGAACGATATGACAAAGATTCAAGAGGCTAAAACAAATATATCCATGAAGACCATGATCACCAAGAAATCAAGAATAATTACGAGTACTTGTACATTATTTTTGGTCAAATGCAAACAATAGAATATTTGGCATGTGTAGCAAAGGAAGATGAAGTAGCCTATACAGACTTTTTCAAAGGTCTGAAGGACGGGTAAAACTTTAAATTCGATCTCGTCAGAAAGAGGGTGACCACCCCCTAAGAAGAAATGATGGAGGCGAACGCCTACATTCAGGCAACTGACCTCTGTAATGTTGAAAAGCAGTCGGACCACAAAATGTCCGACAAAAGGGAAAGCCGGCCAAAACAGTCGGCCAATAAGGAAGAGAAAAAGAGAAAAGAAGTATGGGTTGCCGACTCCTCTGAACAACCGTCCCAGAAAAAGAAGAAGGAATTTAAACCATACTCCCCCAAGTATGAGTTTAACAAGGATAGCCATGCTATCCTCGATGAAATCAAAGGTCGGATGTCAATTGAGAAGCCGGTCGCAATGAAGGGTTCTGCCAGCAATCGGAACCAAGATAAATACTGTCATTGTCACGAGGACATTGGTCATGAAACCAATGAATGTATCAGCCTGAAGCGTCTTCTGGACCGCCTGACAGATAAAGGAGATCTTAACTCTTATGTCAAGAATTCCGAGGGGAAACCACCCCTCAAAAGAATAGGCGGCCAAAAAGAAGCAACGGACAGCCGACAGCTCTAACACTAATGCCTACTTTAATTGTCGTTACGACGTCTCCCCACAAACGTGCCAAAAATGCATCGCAAGTGCCGCAAAAAACATGACATCGGCGTGCCTTTCTAGTGTAGAAGGCATCGTATACTACGAAGAATGCACCTTACACTACGCTAACCTCTCATTTTCCACTATCAAGGTAGAGCTCCCGCGGTTCATTCAAGCTAGCCATGAAACCGCGAAACTTGAAATCTATTTTAATCGGATTTTGGGTGACACCGTAACTGATTTAATCGGAAACGTTACCGCTGAGTTTCCTGTTTCCTCCCGGTACTTCGCCACGACAACGGCCAAGTACGGGTCCGAAACCATATACACACTCGGACAATGTAATCCGGATATTACCTCTGTAAATTGCAGTATGTGCTTGCGAAATGGATTCAGTGTGTTCACTACAAATTATACTAGCTCAATTTATGGACAAATGTTTTCACCAATATGTAGATTGAGCTATGTATTATCTGGTGATGTGCTAAGTCGTCCGTGGAAATTTTCTCGAACTTTTGAACAACGTCCAATTTTCTCAACAGGTATGACCAATTGCCCAATTGGCAACTGCTTGAGTCAAGTGCGTGCCGTCTTAGATATTTAAGATCGAGGCCCTACTCCCTCTATTTATTATTGGTACATTTTAACTTTTGTGGTTATTTTTAAAAGGAAAAAGATATATGCAACAAATGAAAAGAATTGACGATTAATAAACATTTATTACATCGATTACTCGTTGACAAATTCCCAACTTAATACTAAAAAAGGAAGTATATTAAATGCTTATATGCAGCCATTAGGGCTGCATATAGCATTACCCTTTTTAAAACTTTGACTAATATGTGACCTATAGATTCATCTTAAAATGAATTTTAATTTCCAAATATCATAATTTTATTACGTACGGAGTATAATTTTTAGAAAAATGATAAACATACCCTTAAGGGCTATAAGAAGCTAAATAAGGAAATATTGAGGATAAATTAACATTAATTGCACCGTCTGCGCGTAATTTTATCATGAATTCCCAACTTAATTCCATTTTAAGAAGTATATATTTAATACTTACATATAGCCCTAAGGGCTACATATATCATTATCCTAATTTTTACACTCATCTAACTAAACATATACGTAATCAAAGATGTGCATTGAATACTGTAAAAGTCAAATTGTGCCATTGTGGCATATAAAATAAAATGGAGAGACTAATAATTTAGGGGCAAAGAAACATTACTATGTTATAACGTTCACAATTTGTCTAAGGTCCTTGTTTTATACCGTATAAATATATGTAATCTATATGTTACTTAATAAATGCGTGACTCTCTCTCTCTCTTCATTCTTTGCAGGTACACGAGGCGGTTCAGTAATTGGTGCAATGATAGCAAGTTTTGCTAGTGTGGCATTGTATTTGAAGCTTCTCTAAGTTTCTAATTACTCGAATCATATATAAACATAAGTACTATATGTAACTTGTTAAAGAAAGTGTTTTAAAGCTTGTGCAATAATTTTATTTCCAATATCCTTTATCACTTTGTAACTTGTGTAACTGTATATCTTCTTTAAAGCTCTATATGTTGCGTCCACAAACTGTATGATGAATAAAATTAAACATTTTCTTTACAATTGAGGTTCTTTTTTCGCCAAGGTAGACATGAACGATTAATTCAATACATGTCATCTTTGAATTTTTGATGAAACTGTTGAGTAAGATTACATGTATAGTGATGCCAATGTGATATATAGCTGATTAGCTGGTATACATAAGATTAGGCACATTGTATAAAAAATTCTCGAGACATTTGCATTCTGATAATCGTCGTAGCATGTTTGCAATAATGATAACCATTGCCATCAAAGTTGACAAAAACTAATTAGCCTCGATCTGGTGGGTGGGTGAATGTAGTATCGTATACTTACATTGGTAGGATCTTGGTTATTATGCGGAAGTATACGCTTTTATGATTCTTCATAATCCTGCCATAGCAAGATATTATATAAGAGTTGACAATCATGAACTAATTAGTTGTTGAAGAATAATTCAAAGGTACATATCCTTTAGGATTAGGAGTCTAGGTCGTACTTGGGAGTATTTAATATACTACCTCCGCTCCAAATTACTCGCAACTTTGGGGTATTAATTATTTGTGAGATATAAAATATTCCAAAGTTGCAAGTAATTTAGACCGGAGGTAGTATATATAGTTGGATAATGCAAGTTGTAAAATTAACTAATGAGCTACTGATCTTCTCTCTAACCAACTTGAAAGATTGTGACACATATATAAATAATATGAAAACATGTTCTGAACTATTTTAATTCGATGGTCGTTGTAGGTCCATAATATATATCATTTCCTATCATTAACACACATAATAACTCTTAACATAAATTTCAAAATGAGGAGGCAAAACATTTTGATTTTTGTTTTCAATATTGTCATCCTCACACTCATAAAAATCACAATAGCACAAACCCAAGAACTACAACTTGATTTCGCCGGAGGAAAATGCTTAGAAAGTGATATTATAAACACAAATGGCACATACCACAGCAACATCCTCACCCTTTTATCAAACCTCCAAGCATCCTCCTCCATCGACAACTTCTCCAACTCCTCCGTTGGTCTCGGCCCTGATCGCGTCAATGGATACTACCTCTGCCGTCCTGACATCTCCCTCGCCACCTGCGAGACCTGCATCAATGCAACCATCAACACCATAGACCTATATTGCTTCGATAGGAAGGAGGCCATTATTTGGTATGACGAATGTATGATACGGTACACCAATAACTCCATCTCAGCCCTTGAGAGCAACCAAACTAATGACCCTTGGTATTTCAACTATGGTACTTTAAATGTTTCTGAACCTAAAGGCTTCCCCGCGAAGGTGAATACCACCTTGCGGGGGTTGATTTTGGAGGCGATTTCATCGGATAATCCTCAAAGGTTTTATGCTCATGGGAAGGAGAAATTCACTCTGTTTGAAGGGTTTTATGGGATGGTTTTGTGTAGGCCTGATATGACAGCAGAAGCCTGTGAAAGTTGCTTGGTGACAGCATTGGGTAGAATACCAAGTTGTTGTGTTGACAGTTTGTCAGTTTGGACTATAGTTATGTTGCCTAATTGTCAGGTAAGGTATGATACTGCGCCGTTTATCTTTGATTCTCAATCGTCGTTGTCGTTGTCGCCACCGCTTCCTCTTCCGCCTACTCTTGCTCCTTAGCCTTCGTCAACATACTTCTTCATAGCTGAATTGTATGTATATTTGGTTTGATGGTTTTACTGATCTGACTCATCTGAGCTATGTTATGATGATTTAATTATATTGATGAAGATCAATATAGCTTTGGGATTATTAAGTACTTTAATTTTTAAGATCAATAGCCAAGTCTTTTAAATTTCAACCTTGTTGAATCAAGATTTTGTCATTAATTTTCCCTTTTCAAGTGAATTGCAATCCATTGTTTTTTTTTTTTAATAGCTCTTTTGAAAAAAAAAAGGACAAACTAGAATTGAAAAAACAATAACAGCAGCGTAACCAGCTAACCAGTGAGCCGGATAACATCACATTGTCATATGTACAATTTTACGCAAGTTATATTCACTAATCTTATGAAAACATCACGCACAAACAAGATAACCAAGGAAATTATGCATGATACCAAACGACAAAACGTAACATAATACAATTATCAAATTTCGGCCATGTACATGAAGTTATAGTTCTATTTTCGGATTCATCTAATAAAGTTGCAACAAGTGTGAGTGTTTCTCCCTACATTATGGGTATGTCTACTCACTTATAGTACAAGTTTCTTAAAATTAGGTTCATATAGTAACTGAATGGAATGGTAGATCAAAAATCATAAGAGTTTAATTTATCTTGTCATTTCTCTATGTAGTTAGGCCAGTACACATTTAGTATTTCAAAGAAAGATGTGAAGTCATTGAAGACCACACATGGTGTGATTAAGAAGCTTTAAATTAAGAGTTGTGCTTGATTAAAAATTTATGATACACCCTCTTTTTATTGCCCTTTTTTTTAAGTCAGTTCTCGGTATCTACTTTATATCTTTAATGACAACAACAAGAATTCTCTTTTACCCTTCATTATCCTACCAGGCTGCATCATGTATTGAAAAAGATGTATAATTTTGAATGGAAGAATATGTCTATTTCATGAAAAGTCAAAATGCTAAATGATATATTTTCTAAGGTTGTGATGAATGGCTCACCACTAACTACTTAGCATTCTTATAATTTCGTGCATCCACTAATGAGAAAAGAAGACATTGACTTCGTTTAAGGTGTACAATTAAGTTGCTAATTAATTTGACATAATCTATACATGTATGATTTGAATAAACTTCTACCATTAGATTTATATACTAGTATAACAAGTCTTTTATTTATTTATTTATTAAAATAACTTTTCTTCTAATTAATAAGTGCAAAATTCAATATTCTTTGTCATCTAAAACTAGAGATGAAGCTCCCAATCGATCTTCGTATGATCTTCTTCATCCCCCTCTTCCTCACCATCACACCAGCTTACTCTAAATTCCATATCCACAGTGAATATTGCCTAAATGATGTTGGTAATTACACAACGGGTAGCAATTACGACGAAAACTTAATTGACCTTCTTCCTAACCTTATAGACAAAGCCTCTTTATCCACCTTCGATAATCACACGGTTGGACAGGGGATCGATCAAACATATGGCTTATATATGTGTCGAGGTGATCTCGATGGACAACAATGTCATGATTGTGTTGAGGCCGCATCCAAAACAATCGTCGAAAAATGCCCTACACAAAAAGAGGCCCTTGTGTGGTACCAGGAATGTATGGTACGCTATGCAAACCGCCCCATCTATTCTCACCAAGAACAAAATCAAATGAGCTACACCTGGAGTACACAAAATGTGTCTGATCCTATGAAATTCGGAAAATTGATTTCAAAGATGATGGATGGTTTAATCGCGCAGGCTGCCTATAATTCAAGTCGTCGAGGTTATGCTACTGACCAAGGCGAGCTCACATTGTTCGAGAATGTGTATGCCTTCGCACAATGCACTCCTGATATACTTGGAAATCGATGTGAAAGATGCCTAAGAGTGGCATTCAGAAATATGGGAGCGTGTTGTGGGACGGCAAGGGTATCGATGGAAATGTATTTGCCTAGTTGCTGGCTTCGATATGACCAAGCACCTTTTATTGGAGAATTTAGCAATGAGAATGATGACGCTCCCTCTACCAGTACGTCTTCGTCGACGACATCAGGCCCGCCAACTATGGACCTCAACTTTCCTAACGATACACCGGTCGTGCTACCTTCACCACCTTCCGCTAGTAACCAGCTAACAAGCCTAAAGACCTACTTGCTTGTAATGACATTGTGTGTATCATCGTTAGTCATGGCATGGTAAATTTTCGAAATTACGGGTGTATTATCTATGATGACCTTAGAGAAATGGTCAAGGCGGCTATGGGTAGTCTCATTGACGGAATTATGTAGGCAACTTTGTATCAAACAATATATGCTTTGTTCAACAAATATTACTTCGTATCAAATGTTAATTTCATTGAGTATTTGATAGTAGTGTTATTGCAATGAACTCATTTTATGACAAATGTAATGTTATTGTGTTCCTTAAGTTCTTTGTTTTTTTTTTTCCCAAACTTTAAAAGTGATAACCAATAATGTCTAAAAAGTAGACTTGTCAAAAAGATTTATCAGGTCAAGTTTGATTTGGGTCGGGTTATCTTCAAGTTGAGTTATTTTCGACTACAAATTTGAGAACACTTAGCTTGATCATAACCCAAGGCCAAAAAATTCAAGAAATGTACATGTTTGTTGTATGGAACTATGGATCAAATTGATATTATTACAACATATCTTGCTCATTTTTTATTTTTAATTTTTAATTTTTATTTTTGAAACCTTCTTTTGTTTTCAAAAGCTCAACTATCAATGGAGTAAAATATTGATGCGCAATAAATGTTGATAAAATAAGAGAGGGTGAGTGAAAAGGAAAAATGTTATGGGATTGCAACAACATTTATCAAATTGTTAATTTCAATTAAAATGAACCAAACAAATATATGTTTCTCGCGGCTGCAACAAATCGCTTATATGTCTCTTCGAAAGGCTGCATATTTCGATGGTACACTCAAGCAAGATATATTCTATTGTGCAAGATTGTCCCACGATTGCCATCAACCACAGTTTTGATAAAGAATACCTTTATTTGATTCATTTAAAGTCAATGTCTTTTGTAGATATTGTATGACGTTTTTGCAATTAATCAAATTTACTAAAAAAAATTAAAAACAAAAACTAAACTCTAGCTTACACAAAAATTATACTCCATAATAATTTTGTTTATAAATAATGATAGTTAATTAATATAGAAAGAGAGCATCCAACTACATGAAAACAAAGACAAAGTAATGGAAATTATTTTAACTACATACACTTTCTTGAGATCTTATGAAAGATCATCATTTTACCTATGTATATAGCAAAAATGAAAGTGGCTTTGACTCTTTGAGCATACATATACTCCGTTAAAGCCATATATTACTTCGATCTTCAGTTGGAGTCTTGGAGACGGCTCGATCAATCTCACTTGAACTTATAAGTTCTTGAAATTACCAATATTAAATCTCACAAACATACACTTAACTAATCTTCTTAATTATTCATGCAATAATTTGTATAACCAAATGAACAAATCAATTAATTAATATGAAGAGAATTTCGGACCACCACGAAACGTCACGTACGTACGTGCATTTAATTAGTAGTTAATCTTTGAGCAAACTTTCCTTACTTGACCAGCATTACCAGTAAGAATTTCAATTCTACCCATTCCAACCATGGATACACCAAAATCTTCGAAGAATTGCTTTTCATTTTTACCATTTTTGTGAGCTTCAACATAATATTGAGTAGCGTAATCGTCGAGTAATGCAGCATCGGATTGAAATAATCCTCTATTCTTAGACACAGTCTCGAAGTAATCATTATCGAATTTGTTGGAACTTTTGGGATCCATTTCCACAATCACGTCAGGACCATTTTTGGTGCATTTCTTCCTTAATGCAGCGACATATTTGGGATCCATGGTTGGATCGAAAGAGTTGTCACCTCCTCCGTTGAAGTTGTATAGACGGTTTTTGAACGACGAACAATGAGATACACCTATTGTGTGAGCTCCTGCACAATTGTTTTCTCGAGTTACTATCTATAGTGAATTGTAAAGTTCAATTTGGATACCAAAAAGTGTATATATATATAATTATTAAAAGACGAAAGGCTGTTGCTGGCTATAGTGGCTAGGTCATGAGCTTGTTTAATATATTTACTGATAGACGATAAAAAATGTAAGTAAAAATAAATAAAGAGTTGTTAAATATATTTACATACCTGATAAAACTACGAGATCCTTTATGGTTAGTCCTTTTTGGTTGAAACTATTTATCAAAGAGGAAATGTTGAAAAATGGTGGTGGCAAATTAGCTAGAGCTTCAGTATTCGAAGTAACAAAACCATCTCGCCTTCCTAACTCAACATCCCAGTACGATCCTCCGGTCTACGAAGAAAACACACAGTACAATAATAAATAAGAACATTTCACTACCAATGTACAATTATAACATTATTAGATGATTTAGAATGATGTTTTTAATTATCTAAAAATGTATACCTCAACCACGACGTCCCTTGATACTATGGCTAATATATCAGCACATGAAACAATTCCGGGGCAATGCATTTCCAATGCAATCTTGACTTTATCTATGACTTCATATCCTCTAAGAGTTAGATTTGGAATTGCTTCTTTCTCGCCTTGTTTTGTAGGAGAATCGAGTAGGATTGAAGCATCACAACCCTGAGAATCAATATATTAATAAATGGATTAGTTTGTTTGCAATTTTACTATGTTATATATGTAAAGAAGGTCATAAAAGAGTCGCATTAAATTTTTATTGAAAGAACATAGCCTAATTAATTCGCGCAAAAATAGATAGGAAAAAAAAAAGATATTACTCACCCTAACAAAACAATCATGAAAGAACATTCTCAACAAGGGGCCAGCAAGAGTAGGATCAACAGCAAGGGATTCTTTGATGACATTCAATGCTATGGACTCGGCTTGAGGACATGAATACCCATAGTACCCCACCGATAGGCCGGATGGGCCATCAGCAGGATTCGAGGCAACAAGAGGAAGAAGAAGAGCTAAGAAAATCATAACTTTAGGAGTAGCCATCGATTGATCTCTTAACTATTGATCAAGTATAGGCTAATTAAAGTTGCTATGATGAATGTTGTAAGGAAAATAGGAGCATCCTTATATAGTGTATTAACTAGCATTGTCAAATATTGCCAACTATTCCAATTTGCATGCTTCCAACACCTTTGTGTTTGCACGTTTGTCTTTGATTTTGGTTGGTGATAACAATAATCATATCGATCAAATGAACTTGACGAAGTATTACTTCAATTATATATAAACTACTTGTATATAGTATCAGTTACTAATCTTACTATTGGCAAGGAAGTTGGGCTATCCTTTTCATACAATAAACAAAACATTAACCAAACTATATTACGAGTAGTAATCTAATACTTAAGTGATGAGCATGTAATACACTTGTAATGCCAAATCATATGGGACTGACGAAATGCGGATTTGATATCCTCAATTAGCTGAATTATATCCTCTATTGGCTAGATGATATTTTCTATTGGTTATATAATATCCTTTATTGACTAGATGATATTTCTACTGGCTGGATAATGTTCTCTATTGGCTGGATGATATCTTCTACTGGCTATATGATATCCTTTTATTGGCTGGATGATATTATCTATTGGTTGGATGATAAAGCCTTAACGTTTTGACACGTGACTGTAACAGGCCAATGATTCTCCTTTATTTTATTTAAAGTAAGTGGTTTGGAAAAGGAAGAATTATTGGGGTGTTACACGAAGTAACCCCTATGAGGCTATGATGGTTGGCCATACGGTGTGACTAGCCACATATAAGAATTTGAGTCTTTTTTTCATTTACAATCTTTATCGTTACTCATTCCGTGCTTTAGTAAGTGTTACACTTGCCAAATGCGATTATGTTTTAATAAGTGTTATACTTCCTTTTTTTTTTGGCAAAATACTACTCACATTTTAATATTATCTCTCTCCTCTTACGGTCCTCACCCAAACTACTACTACATTTTTTATTTTTTTATTTTACATTCATTATTTTCCAATAAACTATTAAACTCACTGTCTTCTTTTTACAATTTTTTTTAATACTCTGAGTACCCAACTTACCTTTTATTTAATTTAAGTCAATTAAATTGCTTAAAATAATGTGTCGGTCAAACTGTAACAATTATTAAATTGTTAAAAAAATATTTGAAATTATCCACGGGGCTAGTACATGGAAACACCACAACACTAGTTACGTGGCTTGTGACTATATGGATCCTATGAGACTTTTTTTTTATTATTATTTTTTTATTTTTAAGAGTATGAGACCTTGGTGCCTAACGCAACCTAACCAATTATTGATAACAAAACATTCTTTAATTTATGTTGTTTTGAGGTTAAACAATTACTTGTATCAAACCTCATCTAGAGAAAGATCAGAATATACTTGTAAAAAAGGTCAAATATAACACCTATCTTTTATATTTTATTTTTTAGTTTTTTAACTATTTTTTTCGTAGCTGTTTTTAAGCAAGATATATAACACCTACGTTGGAGTCTTGGACATACCATGTCAACGTTCGAGCGGCACATGGGGCCGGCAAACATGTTGTTGCGACGATGGCGCAAAATATTCATTTTTTGCACCATCCTTAAACATATAATAAGCTATTAAATCAGCAACAAACAAAAAAAAAATAAAAAATAAAAAATAAAAATCAATTTAACTTCGTTTGTTAAAGTTCATGGTACTCCATTACAAATCCGAGGCCTTTTTCAATAATTAGCTAGAATGACTTGTTCTAAGCTATTAGCTAGTAAGCTACACATTATCTATAAAATTATAAGGCAATATATAGTGTACATATGCACTCAAATCACTGATTTAGTAAGAAAACAAAAAACACATGGCTATCTTCAGAACTATTTTGCTTCAAATTATTTTACCATTTATACTTATGCCTCAAGACCTCAAGTAGCTGCTCAAATTCCTATTCATGACAAAGGTATCGATAGGATCCGACTCCATTCTTGCATTTTTAAACATAAATTCAGCGATTCCACGGTTATTGGTTAACTTATTACTTATGTAATTAGAACGCTAATTAAGTGATCTTCAATAAATAAAAAGATTTTAACTTGTTAATAATGCACTTCATATACAGACGTACACATATTCACCAAATAGTCAAGGCTTGATCTAGTCGAAATGTTTAACCTTATGTAGAATGCTTCAACCCTAGAGTTAAGAGAAAAAATGAATGGTAACCTATACGAGTAATTAAAAAGGGTGCTTAATTAAGAATAAAATATATTCATGCCTGTCTTATTATATTTTATTTTAACTTATTTATAATAGGTTCTTTAATTTCATAAAAATATATCGTCAATTGAATCCTTAATCACACGGTTGTGTATCTAAAAAGCTTATACAGAATAATTCAATTTTATTTTTTTTGACGGATAGAATAATTCAATCTTTGGAGTCATCGCGAACATTTAAAAAATACGCATTTTGCCAACTCATGCAACAAGAGAATTAGATAAAGCAAAAATAATCAAACATCAACAAGCATCATGCCACAAGGTGAAAAGGATGAGAATTAAGTTCATGGCAGTCCATTACAAGTTTACAACCCGAGGCTATCTTCGATCAATTAATATATTTTGTTGTAAATAAACTTTATTATCAACAAATTTTTAATAAGGAAATATATATAGTTTCATTTTAAATCACTAATTTAGTAAGCATTACAAATATAACATGGCTATCTTCAGAACTATTTTGTTTATCATTCAAATTATTTTACCATTTATACTTATACCTCAAGTAGCTGCTCAAATTCCTATTCATGATAAAGGTATCAATACATCTCCATCTTTGCATTTTTCTTCATAATTTCAGCAATTTTATGGTTAACTTATTACTTATATAATTAGCACGCTAACTGACAAGATCGATTTTAACTATATATCTTGTTTTGATTAGGTACTGGCAAGACAGTTTGGATTATTTTGAAACCTCTCATCATAATAGGCGGCATAATAGCCATTGTTGTAGTTGTGTTTGTTGGCTTAACAATTGGTTGTATTGGTTTATGCTTTGGCTGTATGAAAGAGGAACAATTGCAAGGTAATGATCTTATGTACCCTCTTGATCTCGTCCTCCTTTAAGTCTTGTTCATATTAAATTATATGAGTACTACATCTATATCGATCCTATATAAAATATAGGAAAATTTGTCTAAAAGGTACTTATATGCTCATTTTTTTTTTTTGTGAAAAATGACCTTTTATGTTTAAAGCTGTGAAAAAGATCCTTATAAGTTATTTTTGTTGTAAGGAGGGATCTTGACATCGGAATATGACCGTTGATTTCACTTTTCCGGCATTGACTATCATGTGACATGCACGTGATGTTTAAAAAATATCTTTTTTTTTAATTTTTTTTTTCCCATGATTTTGAGGAAAGAGTAGGAATTTTGAGAGAAAATTCGGGGAAAGAAAGAAAGAGAATGTGAAAACGTGGGGAAAAAATGAACGAAAGGGCCATTTAAAAAATCACATGCCACATGCGTGATGATCAACACCGGAAAAGTAAAGTCAATAGTCATATTCCGATGTCAAGGTCCTTCTACACAACAAAAGTGACTTATAAGGACCTTTTTCACCACTTTGAACATATAAGGTCCTTCTTTGCAAAAAGGTAACATATAAGTACCTTTCTAACAAATTTTCCTAAAATTTAAATGCATGCTACTAGTGTACGTACATGTATGTTGTCCCACATTAGTGAAGATCGAGAAATGATTCACCTTTATCATGCTATGATGTTCAAAAGCAAAAAATGCTTATTTATGCAATGTTATATACTTACGACAGCCCGCTTATGTTTAAATTTATTAATGCTTAAGTGTATTGTTAGCCACATTGACATTGCTAATGTGAAAATTGAATTTGTGTCATTGCAGAAAACAAAGGGCAATCAAATGATTCAACTGAATCTCCACAGGTTTAGGTCGCGATAATCATGAAATTACTGTATCCGCCAGTGAAAAACCATGCTTAATTGAGTGTAAGCAAAGTTAATTTGTGCATAAATCTAGCTAGAAGCACGTTATCAAGAAAGTCTTAAGTTGTTCCTTTTTTTTTTTTTTTTTTTCAAATTTTTTAAGGCAATTACTGTATCCGCCAGTGAAAAACCATGCTTAATTGAGTGTAAGCAAAGTTAATTTGTGCATAAATCTAGCTAGAAGCACGTTATCAAGAAAGTCTTAAGTTGTTCCTCTTTTTTTTTTTCAAATTTTTTAAGGCAAACGTTTGGAATTAAGAATTTAAGTAACATGCATGCTTCTCTTTGTCATTGACTGAAAGAGCACAAGACTCTTACGTGTTAAAGGACCAACTTAATCAAAAGGACCAAGTCAAAATGGGAAGAACATTTAGCATAAGAAGGGGTAACAATTATATGCACCCGCCAAAGAATTATTTAAAAGCTTGTGTTTTATACTTTTGGTGGTGTTATTAGTTGCTAAGATATGGAAGAGTAGTCTTGATACAGGAAGATATCTATCCTCATTCCTCAATATCAGTCTGGTAACATCTATCAAAGACTAATTGGAAAAAATGTTCACCACATTACAGAACCAAGAAGTTTTAATGGCTACCAACAACACACATACACTACACGCACATTTACACAATCATCGCTGTTTCAAACCTCTAGGGGCTGGAAGACTATACATCCCACTATCCCAGCTTGTCCTTTCTGGAAGTCTTGCATATAATTTTTCTCTTGGCATTAACAAGAGCAGTATTTGTTTATGTACAACTAGTTATACCGTGTGTATGATACAACAAATGTTATTCTTTGCTCGTGTGCTTGTACCCAATAATTACACGAATATGAGCAAAAAAAAATACCTTTGAAGGTACTCCTTTAACGAGGAGACAACTCGGTCATAATATCCTCCATTGGATTTACTCCAGAGCTTCCAAGTAAATCTGCCGATTTTTCTTGCTTGTAATAAGGTAAAATTGGAGGTGGAAAAGGCAGAGTCATGCTAATATTTAACTGGGTGTTAAGCATGATTAACACTGATGCCATGTTTGGTCGTTTATCTGGATCCTCTTGAGTGCACAATAGTCCAACTTGTATACATCTTTCAACTTCATCTTTCGAAAAATCGTTCTTACCTAGTGCTGAATCTACCAAGTTCAAGTGTGCCCCTTCATTCCAAAGTCTCCATGCCTGAGATGTAAATTCAAGAACGACATAAGTACAAGCAAAATAAGCAACGCATGCTACTATAGTACTATAGGTCTCAAGTAAAAATTAAATAACTTACATAGCTTAAGAGGTTCTCTCCTTGTGCATTATTTATGTCCAAGCAACGATTTCCACTGATTATCTCTAGCAGTATCACACCATAACTAAAAATGTCTGATTTGCTTGAGAAGTGCCCTGTTCTTGTATACTCTGGCGCCATGTATCCACTGCACCATTTTTTTTTCGCTTAGGGAAAACCATACAAATATGTAGTATGCCATAAAATATGTCTAGTGTAATCAATAAACCAATTAAAATTTCTTGTTACATTAGTATTCCTAGATGAAAAAGTCGAAATCTTACAATGTTCCTCCGATTCTGCTAGTACAATTTCCTTGAGTTAGATCTCCTCCAAAAAGCTTAGCCATACCGAAATCAGCAATTTTGGGATTCATCTCTCCATCTAACAAGATGTTACTCGGTTTAAGGTCTCGGTGAATAATTTTTGGACATGAGTCTTCATGTAGGTATAGTAGACCTCGTGCAATTCCTACTATGATCTTGTAACGAGTTTCCCATTTCAACAATGCTCCTCGTTTAGCATCTGCAGCATGTATAAACAATTTAGCAGTTCAGAAATTAAAACAACACAGTTGAATATTTCAACTACTTAGATTTTGTTTTAGACTGCAAAAAACAAAGTAAAACTAACCGAATAAATATCGATCAAGGCTCTTGTTAGGCACAAACTCATAGACCAGCAACATTTCATCTCTTTCCAAGCAGAATCCAAATAGTTTAACAAGATTTTTGTGTTGAAGCTTGGCAGCTAAGCAGGCCTCGGTCTTAAACTCTCGGATTCCTTGTCCTGATGCATTCGAAAGCCTCTTTATCGCCACTGCTTGTCCATCAGCCAATGTCCCCTGAAATCATAATCTCTGATACATAAATAACATAGATATGCAAATGCCATAGTACGTCTTAACAAATTTGTAGTATTACTAACATTGTACAGTGTTCAGACTTTGGTCATACCATGTAAACAATGCCAAATCCACCTTGTCCAAGCTTGTTGGAATCGGAGAAGTTGTATGTTGCTGATTTGATGGTTTCGAAATCTATTTGCAAATTTTCCATGCTTTCGATCTCTTCGAGCCCTGGAATTACATAAATATTTTCTAAGTGTTCAATATCATTACTTTACAGTTTTTAAGTGTTACTCCGTCTTATTTTCTCTCCTAACTGTTTTCTATTAAACCTGTTTTATTTTTGCAGGTAGTCGTTTGTAATATGACTACCAAAATGATTACGAGTAGTTATTTTGGCTCAATTTTCCAGCAAGAGGTCCAATCGGAGGCAGAGACTCTGCCTTCAACCTGACCCAAGTCAAGACCACAAGCACCGTACACTAGATGATCAAAGTCATCAAACTATTAAGGTACAACTCTTTTTTTACATAGAACAAGATCGATCTATGTTTTAACATGAAACTTACAACAGTTAAAAATTACCATATGGTCTTTTTCTGGCCTTTCTTCTCTTTAGACAACAGATCAGATATACAATAATGATCAAGAATATGGCTGCGAAACCTGATACGACTCCCAATCCAGCATACAGCTTTTTATCTGGTTCTGAAAATGTGAATAAAAAATAAAAAAGTTCGGTCATAATAGCAAAAACAAGCTAAGGTGATACATATATCGAGTCGATTAGAGTATAAGAATGTTTAGCACTTCGTAACAGAAAAAAAACAAGAGGTGAAATCAGAGTCGAATTTAAACATATTACCTTTAGGTAGAAAAATTGATGTTTCAGTAAAGGTATATGTCAATCGACAACTCGGCTGCAGAATCATTCCGTATTGCTGACCCTGTGTATGAAGCCTGCCAAGTGCAGTTTGTAAACAACTGCGGCAATCTGATGGGCGAAGATCTGGTGTGCAGTCTACTGAAGAAGTTAACAGCATGTTTCCAGGGAGTTGACTGACTGTTGAGGCTGAAGCTAGCGATAAGCACCCAGCCGAGGCAACGTTAAATAGACCAATGAACGCGTTTGACAGTTGCTGATTGAACTGACTGTACTTTGTTGGACCAAATATGAGTGGAAAGTAAGGATTAACATCATTAATGGAGAATATGGAGTGGTTTGCATAGCGTAACATACACAACGGATACCAAACTATGGCTTCTACACTCGACGGACATGTCTGCAGGATTCCTTCTGATGCAGCCTTAATACAGTCTCGGCACAGCTGATTGTCTGCACCACTGTTGCAGAGGTATAGGCCATATACTGTATTTGGGCGTTCCCCTGTGGTGAAATTGTGGAATTTTCGTGTGTCCGAATTCGAGGTGAGATTTGATAATAGGTAATACAGATTGGTTTGGTATACACCTCCCTGCTCAAATTTCCTATTAGAACAGCTGCCATTGATGTAAACATTTAGGTCCTGAGAACTTGCAAATTTGAGAAAATGAGTTAGGCAAATAAATGAAAATATAATTGGGCTAAGAATGTGCCCCATAATTTTTTTAATGGGAATCAAGAACCTGCCTGTATTATTTGTTTTAGAAGTAGGAATTTTATGTGCCGTTTTTAAATACTTTTTTATGTGCCGTTTTTAAATACTTTTTTATTTCTTTAATTGAAAAGCTTTCCCAAATTAAATCATATTTTATTAATTTTATATTTTCTTTTTTCCAATTCTCTTCGTTATTTTTATTTTTATTTTTTTTATTCTTCCAGGAATTTAAAAACGGAGGGATTATATGGAAAGAAATTTGACGGAGTGGAGAGGAGTAGAAGGACCTCTATTGGCTTTGGCTCTATGCATTGGAAAGAAATCTACCCTTTATTTTGTTTTGCTGCAATTCAATGACGAAATTGGGTTGTGAAACCACTCTTTAATTTGAAGGTATCATCTTTTATTTATGCTACTCCTACTCCATTGTCTCCATATGATTGTTTGCTAGATATGATGATTGCAGCTGATTCATTTCATTGATCGTTTACTGATTATTGTTATTTTTCTCATTTTTTGAGTTATGCTCACCAGGTGTTCGATTAAATGCCTAAGTGAATCTGGATTGCTTGATAAATGACCACGAACAACTGATAGTTGACAGCAATATAATGTCACACAAACAAGAGGGTTTACCCTGGTATGTACGGAGTAATATGTATTTTATCTACTACGTATTTCTGTAACTGCAAATTTTATTTTATTGGATCAAAAACATTTAGGTTGATCAGTTCCCTTTATTGTTTTTTGTTTTTGTTTTATATATATGCAGTAAAATTCAATTTAGCGTCTTTGTGTTTTATATAATGTTTTTAAATTAATGGAAAATTTTATAAAGATCAGATGATCCATATTCTGGTCATTCCTCCTCTTAATGTAATCCTAAGTGGCTAAGTTTTAGGGGTTTAATTTTAAAATTGTCTAGTCCTCCTGACATCTGTTTTAGTTAGCACTGTCAAAAACCGAACCGAACCGGTGAAACCGAACTGTTTCAACCGATCCGAATGAGAACCGAACCGATTAAAAACCGATTTTTTTGAAACCGAAAACCAACCCGAACCGCATGTTAGTAAAACCGACACCGAACCGATCCGAGAAAACGTTAAACCGATTAAGAACCGAACCAAATCTAAACCGAACTGAAAAGGAAACCGAACCGAAAATGAACCGAACCGTTTCTAACCCGAAACCATTTAAACTGGCATAAAAACCGCTTACACCGAACTGTTAGCAAACTGCTACTCGTTTGCACCGAACCATTTAAAAACCGAACTGATTGTAAACCGAACTACTTATAAACCGAACCGTTTATGAACCGAACTGCTTATAAACCGAACCGTTTATGAACCAAACCGCTTATAAATCGAACCGTTTACAAGCTTTTTTTTGTATGTAATAATAATATTTTTTTGGTGCACTTTTTTATGTAATTATTTGGATTAAGTATTAGAAATCTTAGAATATATATTTAGCATATATTCCATACTTATCAGTTTTTCTTGAGACCATATACTTATCATATTAATTGTATATATCTTAGTAACTTAGTTAATACTAAATTCCCTTAGAAATAGCACTTCGTTAGCTAATCCGTGAGTATTGACTTTAATTTGGTTTTTGGGAATAATCTGCAATTTTGGTTTTTTTGGGCAATAACCTACAATTTTTTTGGCCTTTTGGGCCTTATTCATCAACATAGCAGTATTCCAGTAGCATAATAGGATTAATAGCATTAACAAGTTATAAAACTTCTAATTCAACAAGTTTCAACTTTTCAAAACCAAAACAAACTAATCCAATCCATACACATAATTAAACAATTTTTAACAACAAAGTAACAAAATCAAACCAACCAATCCATACAAACAAGTTTTAACAACAGAATTGTACAAGTTTTTAGCATAACAAGATTAACACCAGCACCACAGTCTACAGCAGAATGGCAGATCAGCAGCACTGCAGACTGCAGCAGCAGAATGGCAGAACTGCAGCGATGGAAGAAGAGCAGCAGAACATCAAAAATGGAAGAAGAGCAGCAGCAGAATGGAAGAACAACAGCAGAACAGCAAGTCAGCAGCACAGCAAGTCAGCAGAACAACAGTAAGGAGAAGAAGCAGTCAGCAGTAGCAGCACCCTATACTTATCATTAGTGTAAGAAATGAAGCTACACTTTTTCTCACAAAAAAAAAAAAACAAGAAAGCTTGAATTAAGCAACACAATATAAATTAAGCATCAGTAAAATAGCAACATCCATACCTTTCTAATTAGATGCAAAACTTTCATCTATCACCTCTTTACCAATTTCAAGGACGTCTTCTTCAATATCACAATCATAACCACGTAACCAATTTTGTGTGGTAACCAACGCCTCAACATTCTTAGGCAAAAGTGCACTCCTATACTTGTTTAAAATACGACCACCCATGCTAAAAGAAGACTCAGAGGCTACCGATGTAATAGGAATGGCCAAAACATCCCTAGCCATAATAGCT